ATGGTTCTTATAGAAAGCTCATTGTCACGTGAACAGCCTAGATCTCAAAATTTTGTCCCTATCTGAAGAATGTTTTTTGTTGTAAGAATATGCAGTACAGCTGCTAACAGAAAATACTACAGGTATAAATCTAGTAAGCAAGGAAGCTACTCTAAGGAAGTTGGTCTCTTTGGATTTGATACATTCTAAATCACTAACTCTTTTTTTCTGAGTGTCATGCATTTTAAGTTAATCAGTCTGGAAAAGTTGATGTAGCTTGACCAGGAACACAAATCACAAAATCTGAAATTCTGGATAACCATATTATTCTTCCTCTGCCCATTCTCAGTAAGGGACTAGTAATAGTGATAGGTTTACCTTTGAGCGCTTGGACACTGTCTAAAGAATGTGTTTGTTGCCTATTTTGTAAATCTACTGTATGTGATGTTTCATAAAAGCAAGACTACTTTAATGTATAAACTGTTGCCATTTTGGTTTTACTGTATTTATTTATTCATTCTTCATAGTTCTTTCTTCCTCAACATCTGCAGAAAGTAGATTTTTCCTAGTTAATCAGACCATTTCATTGTCTGTCAATAGTGAGAAAGTGAGATTGTTCAGAAATAGAAAAAGGCTGCTTGATACTTTCTTAGTAAGTATCAAGTGTAATCCAGTTTTCTTGCAGATCCTATTTTGTGTCTGTAATTTTGTAAGAACTTTTTACATGAATTAGTCAGAGGACTAAGTAGTCATGTACGATTCGGGTCAATAGAATCCAGGCAACTTCTACTTTCTATTTGGGGAATGTCACTATCCACAGTAAATGAATCAGCTCTGTGGGCTTTGTGACACACACCTGAGAAACTGTTTCTTGGCTGAATCAACCAGACTTGGTGCCTGTATTCATATGCTGGTCTTTCATTCGTCATATAATCACCTCTAAGCAGAAAGGAAATCCCCTGTTAGTCACCAGCAGTGGACATCAAGTGGAAAGTCACTTAAAGATGAAATAACAATTACCTGCTTCAAAATAGTTGTGATTCTTGGAGATTTCTTCCCGCACATTACATATGTTTTTATGTGCTTAAATGCAAAGTCCTCCTGTGACATTATGTACTGGTGACAAAATTGTGGGAGAGTTTAGTTTACTCTTCCCGATGTCTTTCAGTAATAGAAAGTCACAGGAAAGCAGGAGGCATCCCAAGACTACAAGATGCTGCTGGTGAGTCTAATATAAAACTGTAAGTAATATATATGTTTACCAGGAATGCGTTCCTGAAGTTGAGCTGAAGATCCACAGTTACTACAGAGTAGGAAACAGGCCCATTTCTTTATCTTGCTGCATATGATCTTTTCTAACTTTTATTTGAGCTTTTTATGGTTTATTTGGCTTAACTAGCTTTATCATGTTGTTATGTTTAGTTTCTCTTACTGAAGTTTTTTGCATTCCATTAATTTCTTAGTTCTTTGGTTTACTGGTTGTTCACTCCACCTGTATCATGTCTTGAATGGCCAATAAACATCCTTTTATACAGGTTGTATCACCTTCTGTCCTAATAGATTATTCCGCAAATAACATAATGCATAGAAATCATGTATTCTCTGTATCTAAACTCTGTTTCTACTCCTGTCATCTCAAATACAGAAATGCATTTTTGCATTATATCTGTCTCTGTTGCTGATTTATCATTAACATATGCTGAAATGTGCCATTCTTTACTGTACATAGAACCTTTCTTTTCTGTAATATCATTAAGCATTGACCTTATATTAGGACATGATTATTGCCTTTTCCTTGGGACACTTGTTTGTTATGTGGAATGGAAGTGTATATATAGAATATGCAGCAAGTTTTACAATAGAATAGGTGTGTGAAGTAATCCTTTATGAATTCAATGTATGAACTGGCTTATTATTTAGTGTCCTTCATATTCCACACGGATGTACTACAGTAGTTCAGTGCAATTGTCTGACTACAGTTCAATAATGCTTGTTACTTGGTCTTTTTTTAACTACTTCTAACAACATTAATCTGTGTATATACATGGTCTACTCTTGTCTATATGTTGTACACTCTAATTTAGTTTAATTATTTTGTTTCTTTTATATATATTTCTAATTTCTTTTGTGGACTTTACTATGCAGCTCATGGTTGCACATTGATAAACCTGTATCAGATATAGAATCTAACACTAATGATTAGTAGTACAACAACTGCCTGAAATTTATATCTGTTATTTACAGCGTGATAAAGACATGGAGTGCTAGAGAATAAAACCGCTGGGTTTCTTGACAAAGAAAAAATTACGGGTTTTTTCTATAACTCACAGCAAATGAGCCTTGCTATGTAGAATCATTGTGGAGGTTGACCTGCCTATTTATGTAATTTATTCTTCTTAAAATTACATACAACTCAGTTAAGTCTACAAGGCATGATTTGTCAAACACCATCTCTGTTTTTGTTATGAGCTGAACAGTTTTGGCAGTTGTGTATTAAGATTATGCAGATAAACATGAACAAGTGCATCTTGTGCTACAAAATATGAATATTCCAAGAAGCTTTACCCTTGGTAAAAAGTTTTAGTGATGTAGAGACTCAGTTTACAATCCAGAGCAATTACTAATTTATTTCTGCATTGCTTTTTCTGATGCTTCACAAGAACATGCTAAAAGGATTAGTTTGTTCAACTCTTTTGATAGGTATGCACAAAAATACAAAATTTTGCCCTTCATTCATTGTCAACTTCCATGTCAGGTGATCCTTTAAAATGAATATACTTATGAAGTGATGATTCTAATGTATGGTATCAAACTGCTTTTTCTCCCTTTGAATGATGAATTTTAGTATTTCTTGATAGGAATGCTGGCTGTAATTATTGAAATGAAGCTGTTGTATAATACTCTTTTATAAGATTCATTTCCATGTGTAATAGTCTGCTTGAATTGTACCATAGCTAAATCTGGAAGTTACTTATCCTAGAGAAAGTAGCCTGCCTCGGAGTACTGCAAAAGTTGTGTAAAGAGTGCTCCAGATACTGCTTGCCAGTCTCTGAGAACATACGTGTGGGCAGTAACTGCTGGAAACTACCGTTAATAGTGACCATTCCTTCGCGTTCAGGTAAATGATTTTTCATTTACCTATGGCAAAAGCAGATTCCTTTAAGAGAAATGCTGGCTTTATCAGCCCTGACCTTGGATTGCAAGACTGTTTGGTAAATTAGCTATGGTGACAAGGTTATGAGTTTTTGGTCAGCAACCTGGCCCTGCTGGAAATGAGAATTGCCTTCTCTTCTTGCCTTCCCGTATAACTAAGGAAAAGTTAATAGAGAAAAAGCAGATTTTAGTCCTATTCCTCTGTCTCCTACGCCTTCTGTGGTGGATGGCAAATATAATGGATACCTTGGGCTCTTCTAAATAACTGCAAGTGCTTGATGTTGCAGTTAGTAATCAGTAGTCTCTTTTGACATTGGAATTGATTCAGATAATCACTTTTAATCATGATCTAAACCAGCAGCAAGGGACTTTGATTTAAAGCATCTGTTACAATCTTGAAAAGCATTGGTAAATTTTTGTTCTTTTCTTAAAGACAATTGGATTTTTAATAGTTGTTAATCGTAAAAGGATGTAGATTTGTAGCTAAAAATAGCCTTTCATTTAATTTGATATTTTGTTTTGTTACTTAGTGAGAGACTACCTGCTTGTATACAGGTTTATTCATGCTGACATACATTAAAATTTACTTGATTTTTTTTTAAAAAACTGAAGTTATCTGAAGTGTATTTGTCAGAAAGGAAAAAGGTAAGCTAGGTAGCACAACTTATAAATCTAGAACTAACTAGTTCACTAAAGAAAGGAAGTTTCTGTTTTAATTTATTTTTAATTAATACATTAAATTATAATTTTTGGTCACATTATCCTTCTAGATTTTAAAAGGACAGAGCATTCTCTCACACTTCATTTTCATTTATATTTTTGCAGCAGGTTTTTTTCAATTTCCAACTAAGACTGAATGAATTGGTCATTGAATTCAAGTAGCAGAAACATTAAAACAAAGAAAATATTTATTTAACATCTGCAGAAAAAACGTGCTGTCAAGAGTTGGTTTAACATTTCAACAAGCTGTACACCCAAGTATTCAGCTAATGAATTGCTTTTGACTATCTTTGAAACTGTAGTAGCAGAAATGTACTACTGAAATACTGTTTGAGTATGGTTTAAAATTATTGATAGCTTGTGGTAAATGCTATGTTAAATATAATTAAAGCTGTAATATACAGGTTTATTTCTCAAATAGAAAATACATTTTTCATCAAACTTCGAGTTCATGGTGAAGAGGGAAGCTCTCTTAAGCTTATTGGAGGTGAAGAGCAGTATTTTAAGCTGAATGTTTAAATTACTTCCCCATGTCAGAACACTGATAATAAATTAAATACAAACTATGCCATGGTCACACAGGCCTCTGGAGCCCTGCTACCTGTCATATGTACTGGCAGCATGTCCATCTGTTTACCAGACTGAAAACTTTCCCACGTCCCATGAAGCTGTCAGCTGCTGCTTTACAGGAGAAAAGGGGCAATAGTGGTGACCACACTACGTCTGGGAATATTAAGACACAGAGAGCTTCCAGCTTCCATCACAGATGATTATGATAAGATTAATAAAATACAGATAAGACATCTGTATTTCAGCTGGGACTGTTTATGTATGTGCCTTTTTTTAAGCATTCCTGTTTTATTGTTTGTCTCGCTCTGCTATGTATGTTTTTGGAGTTTGCTATTCAGACTTGTCAAAAGCGAGCAGAAGCTGGAGAAAAAGGCTTGCAAACATATTCAGCCACAGACTGATTAGAGGGAGGGTCATTTTTCTGCCAAAGTGTTGCTGAGCAGTCAGGTTTTAGACCCACTTTTTCTTATGAAACTTTTTTCCCATAGTGTGACTGTACTTTGAACAAAAGGTAATGAAGTGGTGTTTCAGAGATGTTCTTTATGATGCTGGTGTTAAACGGTGCTTTTCTTTTTCAGCTAATCTGCCTGTACCTACTATTGCTGCAATAGATGGAACTGCGTTAGGTGGTGGCCTAGAACTTGCATTAGCTTGTGATATAAGAGTGGCAGGTAGGTCTGAATCCTGCTTATAGTTCATAGGTTTATTAGTGTTGCAGATGACTTGACTAATTCTTGTTTTGGCAACAATCTTATAAACTTAGTTTGTCTTTGATGTTGTTTATAACCAATTATTTTAAAGGGATTTAGCAGAAACCTGTTTAAGTACTTGCTAATGTTTAATTTCGAATAACTTACCACTGATAGCTCGATCGTTTTTGTTACATGTTTTATTTTATTCTTATGACCTTCATTTTATCAGTATTGCCAGAAGGGTTATGTAGTTGTTTTGATATTTTACTTAGTAACTAAAGTATTCTCCTTTATTTGAAGTGTTCTAGATCAAGATTTGATTTTATCTAAGAGGTTGCACGGAAAAAACAGAAGTTGTTAGTGAGAGTATTATTACACAAGCAATTAAGCTGTTATAAGAGAAAAGTGACAACAGTACTTGAAAAGAGGAACCTTGACCTATCCAGCTGTCAGAATTGTAAAGCCATTTGTTGGAAATTAAATGGAAAATTTGTCCTGAACAGTTGCCAGTAACTTAGGGTATATAAAGCTCTTTGACCCTTAGAGAATTCAAAATAATCAGATACAAAATTCTACTGCATTTTAAGATGTTAAATAATAACAGTCTTTTTCTTCTAGTATTTTTCATTTTGCTAAGTCTCTGTTACTCACTGTAGTTGCTTACTTGCTATGTGAAAATTTATAAGGTACAGAACTTGATGGAAGTAGTTGGATGTTTTACTGAAGGCAGATCAGTTTAATCTATTTGAAGATTTTCATAAACAAATGTTTTTTAAATTATTTATTGTTCTTTTTGAAGGAAAAGTAAAAAATTAACAAACTTGTAGGTCATTATTACGTATTTGCAAAGTTTTCTTCCTATAGTTCATAGTAAGAACTCATTTACATTCTGTTTTTTAGCCTCTTCTGCTAAAATGGGCCTAGTTGAAACAAAGCTGGCAATCATTCCAGGTGCAGGTATGAATGTTTTGCTTTTGTTACCATGGATAAATAAATAGCACATGCTCTTGATATTTGATTTTAGATTGTTGTGTATGAATCTCTGCTTACTTTTATATTTCTGTTAGGATCAGGGCATGTTTTAAAGCTTATTGCTCATAATACTTACTAAAAATTAATAAAAAAAGTGTATTTCATATTTTTAGGGAGTAGCATTTGCATATTATCTTTTTAATCAAAGTCTTCATTAACTGAGTCAGTATTGTGTTATTCCGTAAATGACATTTGATGTCTTGAACTGAAGACTAAATAATTTTGCTAAGGATCAGACTAGGAAAAAAGATAGAATTAGCTGTCAGTGTACAAAACTGGTAGTTTAGACAATGGTCCACTTTTACATAAAGTCTGGTACATTAGGATTCAAATTCTGTTTTCATGCTGCTTGTAAATTGGTTGTAAAGAGTTTAAAAACTGAAAGTGTGGCTGTGGATAGATCTTTCGTCTTACCAATGTTTGGGGTGAAAAAGCTCTTTTCTATTTGGAAGGCAAATTGACTGGCTTTTCTTGGGTTCAAGGTGAATGAAAATTTATAATGAATAATGTCCGAGGAGGTCTCTGTGTTGTGAAACCTTTGGGTTTTATTTTATGGATAAACCATTGTCACTTGAATTAAGATATCTACCTTTCTGGGGAAAGGGCAATAACTTGAATACAGGAGCATCCTTGTGACCCCCACCTAGCTTTGGCCTTCATTTCTGGAAGTTCTGGAGAACTTTATAACCTTTCTTTGCCCCTATTTTCTTTCTGATGGTGGAACTTACTTTGAAAGCACTGTATCCGATTTTAATGGATAACATTGCAGCTCATATAGAGAGGACAGTTAGAACTACCATAATGGGAGCACTGGTATGAACTTTGTGTAAGAAACTGTCCCATCCTATCACTAATCTAGACAATTACTGTACAACTTGAAATGCTTTATTATTGTGGTTACTGTTGAGTTGTGATTTCAGTCAATACTTTCCATCTCTTTCTGTGGTCAGAGCTATATTTTATGTAAGGAAAACTGAGTTACGATGACTGGTCTCTTTAGCAGTGGATAAAGATAATAATGTACATGATTTTAAGGTTGTATTTCCTTCTGGTGGTGTTCTCATGAAATAATGCGCCTTCACAATAAATCCTGGTGAAGAAAAAGACAGAAAATGATGTAGTTTATCTCTGTTGGCAATTTTTTCCCCTTTGTCCTTCCATTCCATCCTCTCCTAAGGAATTCTGCAGGACAGTATTGGAGACATAATCTCCAGTTCAAGAAAGTCAGGTAAAGTTCTCCATATATTCTCAGTATTCAACTTAATTAGGTTGTCTCACGTTTCCTTGTCTTCAGTTAGTTATAGATGTTTCAAACTTAATGCTTTCAACTTAAAACGCTAGGTGACTGACTCATTAGAGTTTCATTGAGAATGTTTTATTGCTATTCAAAGACCAAGGTTTGAAAAATATTTTATTTTTTCTCATTCTAAAATAATGATTTGGGCATACGTCTTCAGCTCCTTGAAAATATGACAGATTTCACTATGTTGCAATGCCTTTTAAACTTAAATTCATCACTGAACATACCCCAGAATGTTTTTTTCCCTATTCCTATCAGCCTTTCTGGAGACTAGTTTTGCTGAGTGTATTCAAGCTTATCAGAACTTTTTCCTGATCAGCTTGTACTTGCACGAATCCTATTGAGCAATGACAGACAATGTTTCAGCCCTTTTTGGGTCCTGTCATCCAAATAGTAACTGATCATGCTTTGTGTCATCACAAAGTGAAGAATGAGGAAAGGAATTCTGCATATGTCGTTTAGATAGAGAAGCTAGATATGCCCACTTGAACCACAGGTTTCATGGGTTAATGGAATATTTTCTTATATTGCTTACTTCAAGCTGCTCTGAGCCAAAGCAGGACTGGGCAATGGAGCCAAAAAGAGAGCTGTAGCCATTAAGAGGCCTCAATAGGTTTCTGCTGCAATCTAGTACATCTGAAACATGCTGACAAAATGTCTTGGTTCTTCAAAGTAGGTCCCTACAGCATGGCAGGCTACTACTGTTTTTATTCTGCTCCATCAGCTGCCATGAGTATATTATAGATGTAAAGATTTTAACTTGGGTGATAATTAACATGGGTGTTTGAGGCTGTATGAAAAAAATCTTAATTTTCTATTTGCTTTTCTTAAAACCACAGGAAGTTACACTCAAAAAGCTATGTTGGAAGAATGTTACTGGGACTTAGTGATATTAAAATACAGATTCAGGGCAGATCAGCTATGATATTTTGGACCTTGTTTTATGTTAAGTTTCATTCCATCCTGTTTTGGAATGTGGTCGTCAAAAGACCCAATCAGCTGCTGTCTAGTGACCAATCAGTTTTAATACAAATTTCCTACGTGCAAGTAATTTTGCTTTTGAATATGCACAGAAGTACTGCAACCTTCTAAAGGCTAAGGTTGAACACCAGTTAGCTGAATCCTGGTTACTATACCAAAATGTATTGTTCCTTCTAAGTCTGCTGAGGGTCTCAACCAAGTGGGCGTTTCTAGAGTGTGCCGAATCTTTGGTAGCGAGTTGAGTGTCCTCAGGAAATTCATCCATGGCAAGCAGGAGAGCAAGTCCCAGGGAGGTGACAGCAGTGCCTCCTTTTACACAGTAGCTTTGTGCACGGACCAGCTGCTCAGGTTGTGAGGGAGGGGGCTTGAGTCTTCTGCCTCTGGAAATTTAAATGCAGTTCTCTCCACAATTCAGAAAGCCTTGGCTGCCAGACTGTGAGCTAGGGAAAGGAGAAAAATCTGCCAATTTTTCCTCTTCAGTACATCCCACTGTCTAGTAAAGAAGTCAAGATTCAAAGAACTAGAGGAAGTGTGTAACAGAGAAACTGGCTTGGTAACTCAGTGCTGGGGAACTTACTTGAGAATGAATATTGATGAGTTTTGTTTTCTAAAGAAAGTCTGCCAATCACTATTCATTGCACAACACACATATATATCAGGCTATTTGTCTCTTCATCCCCTCTCCTCCGCACTTTTCTTCCCTGTGAACTTGGGTCTGTTGGCCAGTTGTGGTCTAATTTGACGACAGCGCAGTGGTTGCAATAGTAAGAGAGTTCCTAGAATTTTATTTAAAGTAGGTGGCCAGATAAAGGGAAAATTCTGTTGTCCTCAGATGAAAAGTCTCAGCACAAACTAACCTGTTCTTGGACATGAAAGAATGGGCACAGGAGGGAGGCATTGTGGATGTCCTAGCTGTGGGAAATGTTTCACAGTTGGAATACTCCTCTCACTGGACAGCAGTGAGTTTGTATGAGACAGGATTTCATAGAAAACAAGACTTTGTTAGCTCTGTGGTTTAAGGAGATGCTTGTTAATCAGCCAGAGTGGCTTTTCTCAAAGCTGTTCATTGCTAAAAGGAGCCAATTTTTTGGATCTCTTAGTCAAAATGCTGTTTAAACAACTTACTTTCTGTGTAACTGTAGTCTGTGCAGAACTCAGCATAATGTAGGAAGAGTCTCTTTTACACAAAAATCATGTTCCTTCTCTTTGTTGGTATTTCTCAAACTGAAGTAAAAAGAAAGCAAGCCTCTTTCATTAATTGAATGTAGTTTCTGGTGTCTCTCACCTTTCAAAGGAAGTGCTTCATGGTGACAAGTTTCTCCTTAGCTGAAAATGGTCTTTTGTAGCATTTGTATCTAAGTCCTTTGTTTTTCTGCTTTCTAACTTTTTAAAGCTATCTCCATCCATGATTTATTTCTGCTATTTATCTCTAGACTTTCACAATGGATGTCATATTGGACCTGCAATTGATAGATGATGCCTTGCTGGCAGATCTGCTTTTATTTGTTAGTACCTTATTTGTATACCACTCAGTAATAGATCTGTTATGAGAAGATAAAAATTCTTGTAAACAACATACATAAACTTTCTTATTTTGTTCATAGAATGGGATATGATTGGTTTGACAAGGGAAAATACCCTGTGATCATAAGTAGGAAAGACATGTATATGTAAAAAATAGTTTGGATTTTCTGTATGCAATTTTTTTCCATGAAAGTTTCATGTATAAAGCTGAGGCATTGGTGTACATCAACAATTATGTATCCACAAAAAAGACAAAATAAAATAATGGGACTTCATTGAAATTAATACACTCGTGTCGGCAGATAATTTGACCTGGCTAGATTAAAACTGTAGCTCCTGGCCTGCATACTTACAGCTATCACTCCTCTTTTTTGTTTTGTTTATGAAGACATTTTAATTAGCAAGCCTTCATTCAACTCATCAAAATAAATTTTGCTTTTGTTCTTCCCTGCTCCTCCCCCAAACCCCACTACTTCATGACAGAGCTGTCTTCCACTGTCTAAAGGTAAAATAAAAACCCAGCACATAATCCCTGGGATCATGCTTTCCTTGACAGCATTCAGTTTAAAAGTGTATTTTATCAAAAAGGCTTTAAAAAAAAAACAAACAAAAAACCAACACCCCCCCCCCAAACCCTCTGTTAAATCTTTAAAACAGTCTTTGTAAATAAGCTATGTCTTCTTTATGCATCTTAAAGTTTCTTTGAACCCTTTTTCCAAAGGTGGAACAGAAGCTTTGTTTCATAGGAGGCTGGACTGTTTTTTGGTTTTAAAGTACGTAGCAAGGGAGAGATTTATTGGCAGCATTTCTGGGTTCTCCTCTTTCCACTTTGGTAACAGTATTGTTTTGACTTTTTCTGAACTTTAAAATGTGTTTGGGGAAGTTATGGTACTTGTAGATTATAAGATTATAAAAGATGACAGAAGAACACACTGACAAATTAGGGTTTTTTGCATAGGAAGAAAATGAGCATAAGAATGAAAACTGGATTTAGGTGATCATTGCTTTCTTCTTTATGTCTTAAAGTATTTGTTGTTTGCTCTTAAGAACAACATGGAGGTCTCTGTTAAAGGATTTATTTTAAAGCTGAAAAAAAAATTTCTATTTTGGATGACAAAGA